GCTTTGCTGAGATCAACTAGAATTGGCGATGTGGCACAAGATTTATCCATAGCCCTGATATTGTCATCACATATGTGAATCAAAGTGGTAACCGTACTGTGACCTTTTCGAAACCCCGACTGAAAATTTGGAATCAAACTGTTTTTATTTATGTGTCCTAGTATTTGCTCGGCACGACACCTTTTTCTAGTGAAAAATTTATAATGTGTGTTAATGCATCGCGATACAGTATGGAATTAAGAGAATCAAAAGATCTAAGCTTAGGCCATCCAGACCCTTTGCACATGACTTAATTTTAGAAAAATATCCAAAAGCTTTTCTTTAGTAACAAGTTCAAAGTTAAACGGTTGAACTGCATGCGAAAGATGATTTGTGTTATAAAATGGCTGTACATGTGTAACAGATGTCTAGTAGGTGAATAAAATCACCAGGGCTGAAAGATATTTTTAAAAATTAGTTTAATCTCTTGAAATTTTCTTAATAAAATTATTTTAATAAAGGATATAGATATAGTGCCACATCTTACAATCACCAAGTACCAATTAATTACATTAAAAAGAATTACAAAAATGAGCAGGAATCCCTGAAATGTCAAAGCACGAAGTTTGGGAGAGTTTTATTTTTTTCGCCTTTGGCACCTAGCTCTGCCATGTGAAAATTTCATCAAAATGAGAGTGGTACATTCCAAGCTATAGACGGGCCAAAGATTAACAGACAGATCATACAACATCCAAAAAACTTATTATATGTTTTTAGAAATTTTTCACTATTACTATAGCTCATCGGCAATGGCGTGGGAAGAAGGAAGATCAAACACCAATGAAAAAATTATCGTTTGATTAGCGCTAGACAGTACGATTTTCTATACGAACAATCAACTTTCCAACTTATCTCTGACAATCTTTATGGATTAAGCTCATTCTGTAATTTTGTGATGTTGACGTCATTGATTTTCATAAAACAACAGCTTCCGGTCAGCCAGCTGTGTCATGGTGCTTCCCTGGACAAACATCCTTCTACTTCCGCCTCCTGGAATAAAATCTAAGGATTTCAGTGCACACCAAAGGCCGGTTTGTTAACCATTTAACTTAATAAGGATAATAGTATCCCGCTTGGTTGTACGTTTATCCAAGAACATCAATCTATTATTTATACTACATGCGCTTAGAGTATAAGCATGTCTACATAATTGTGACGTGATTTAGTATTCATAGCAATTTGTTATTAAAACTAGACGGAATCACTGAACTGTAAATAATCGTTTATTACATACAGCCAGATATCACATGCACAAGTTATATCCCCCGCGGAAAGGACACCAGAGAACGCGGTGTTTACGGTTTTTTGACAGTGAACTAGGTAGGTCAAATTATGAATTAGCCAACGTCTAATGCCGGGTTCACACAAACTAAGCACTCACGAAGATATGTTCATGTGTTGCTGATACAAAGTTTCAATTCACAACGTTTCGACTGCTACTGAAACTTCAATCGCTTTTAAAAATTGTGGCCGAAAAAACATTTTTCAGTAGGTATAAAGTATTCAATTTTCGAACTTCTGGTTTATGTTGTGTCGGCAAAATTGTGTGTCTATTCTTTCAAGCACACTGTATGCGGTCGCGAGGAACTAGGCTTGGGTAGTCGCACATAACTAAACAAAGGTTATTATCGTCCCTATGGGAAATTCCACATGACTTTATTGTCTTCAGGTCTTTGGTTTATACCTTCACATGACATTGCCTTTGTACTCTTTGCCTGCGATAACTGCGGGTACGCTGATAAACGGAAGAAGAGTAGTGCGAGCCGGAAATGAATAGTAGTAGGTGAAGGATTTTTACAAGATTTTGTTTAACCAGTCCTGTTAGTAGGTATATTGATATGTCGGTGTGGGACACATCATCAATCTGAATTTGGAGCTAGCTAACCATAAATCAATTGACTTGAAATTTCATATACTCACAATAAATTAAATGAACCCATTTTGAGTCCAATATGGCAGATGCTGCAAAATAGAGATTTATCATTTCCATAGAAATGAGGGCAGCACACTATTCCAAATTTAATATGACGGACATTTAATATGGCAATGCAATATCATTATGGTAGCAGGAAGCACTGTGACAAAATAACGCAAACCCATCTAGTTAACTCAAATATCAAGTGTCAATTCTTAACATAAGATGCAGGTACGCTTCATTTCTTTCATGAGTTGTTCAAGTATGCTTATAAGTAAAAGTACGTCCTCCGTAATACTGGTATATGATGAACTAAACTAATGAAGCTCCTTCATCTCGAGATTTCAAATAAAAACGTCTTACATTTTTTAACAGCAATAGAGAAGAGAGCTCTGAAAGGTTGACATGTGTTTATTTGGTAATATTATTATTTCAATTTCAGTTCATTCATTTTTATAGCAGCCATGAGAACATAGCTTAAAGAATAAAGTAGTGAGACTACTATATGTATACAACAGGAGCTTAATATAGTTTTGAACCACCTAAAATAATTGAGAAAACCTTTTTCTGATAAACTGTTCCCAGCTCTTTATTTTTTATTAAATACTGAGGCAGCCACGTAGGCAGAAGCCTAATCACCAGGGCACCACGGCTGCTATAAGGAGCTTGAAGAAGTTTTGTTAATCCGATTGTTGAACTGCCTAAAGATTAGAAGAACTGGGAAAAGTATCCTCAAGTAGATTGTATCACAATCTCGATACTCTAGGGAGAATGGAGCGGTTGTATCGGCTAGTTCTGGATGTAGGAAGTTCGACACGGATAGGATGAGAGGCTGAAGTCTGGCGGGTCTGTTTGGCAGGCTCATCGCGCGGCACTATCCCGGAGGAGAGCTCTAAGTAGCAAAGTCCGTTGACAGTGCGGTAGAAGATCGTCGACTGCCCGTCCGTCCGAAAGGTTCCCAAGACTGTCCGTCGTTGAAGAAGTGATCGATCAGTCGGACAGCCATCCTCTGAACAGCATTGGGCATGTATAATGTAGGCACCAGCACCTCAAACATGTGAGTAGTACGAGTCTTAAGGATAGTACTGTGCTTTGGCAGCATTGAACTATCCAGATTGTTGCGTTCCCAAGCACAGATAACTTCCAGGTGTCTCGTCAAGGGGGAAGTTGCTGCTAGTCTTTTTTCTCAAGTTCACCGGCAGAGCTCAGCTTGTCGCTGTGAATTTCTGCATGCAGAGGGATGTACTCAGCAAAGATGTGAATTAGACTGATCGTTGTTATGCAAGAGGAACGATCTCGGAGCCGGGTACCATAAGAACAATAGGTTAATGACACCAACCAGTTGTTAATAATGTATCAGGTAACCAAATAAGTTCGTGCGGTTTTTACTAGAAAAATATAAATTTTTATTGTGAAACAATGATACACTATTTATTCATCGAAGTAGTTACCATCACATTCAATGATCTTTTGCCAACGTGGGACCAATTTTTGTATGCCGGTATTGTAGAACTCCCTGTATTTGGAGTCAAAAAATTGGCGGACTGGATTTATTACACCATCTCGAGTTGTGAACGGTGCCTCATACAGTTGCCAAGAGACAAAAAAAAGTGATTTTCACTGGGCGGAGTGTCGGGAGAATATGGCGGGTGCGGTAACGTTTTCCAGCCGAGTTCAAAATTTTTTCTCCGGTCACTTTTGTGGTATGCTTGGCGTTATCCTGCAAGAATATCACTTTCTTCCGATTGATCAAAGAAGGCTGTTTCTGGATGAGTGCTGCTTGTACTCGTTGAAGCTGCTCACAATACAAGTTAGCAGTGATGGTTTGACCCCTTTCCAAAAACTCATAATGGACAATTCCAGTTGTTGTCCACCAAACATACAACAAAACCTTGTTTGGGTGCAAGCAAGCCTTGGGCGTGTGTGGTACCGAATCAGTAGGCGACAACCAATGATACGAACGCTTAGAATTCGAATACAAGATCCATCTTTCGTCGCAGGTTAATAACCGATTAAGAAATGGTTCATTACCGTTGGGTGAAATGTTTGCTGAACAAATGGTGAGACGACTTAATTTATTATCATTTGTCAGTTCATGTGTGACCGATTTCCTTAACTTCCACGTCTTTCCTAGCTTATGAAGATGCGAAAGAATAGTTTCAGGACTCACTGTGATCATTTCTGCAAGTTCTTGGCATGTTGCACTTCTGTGCTGTTCGATCAATAACGGCGTCATCTCCGAATGCGGTACATATTTTTCGTGCCGCCGCTACAGCTTCTGTACCAAGTTTGTACTCATACAGTAAAAAACTTAGAATTACTGTTTTATTCGTCGCCATTTTCAATTATTAACCTTTAACTACTCGCGCATTTTTATTTCACGTTACTACTCGCGCGGTGTATTTTGTACACCGTTGCAAGTTATGATCCAAATATATGTTTTGTTTGCCCTATAAGTTATAGCTGTGGTAATAAGAGCAACTGTTGAACTCAAATACATATTTATTAGCAAAAATAGTAAACAAAATCAAATAAGGCAGTAAAAATAAATTGAAAAAAACAACCATAATTTATCGATCAAACGAACTTACCTGAAGTTCGATCGTAATTATATGAGGGTCCAGTCCGAAAATATTACATAATTGTGTAGTAGTGGCTTTCCATACTTTTTATCACGAGGTTCAAAGCAAAGGAAAAATGCGCCCGTCCGGTCCTGACTGCCGTTCACCTTGATGATCTAGTGGCGCACCGTCCTATTCGCTTCATTCTTCAAAGTATCCAGATGTATTACCTGCAACTCTCAGGGGCGGGTAGGGGTAGGGTTTGTAATATTTTCGGACTGGACCCTCATATAATTACGATCGAACTTCAGGTAAGTTCGTTTGATCGATAAATTATATTTCGGGATCCAGTCCTCAATATTACATAATTGTGTAGCTGTTTAAAGGAAGTTGCAGTAAGACAGGTGGAAGAAACTTTTATTTTAAGAAAAACGAAAAAGTTGATACAAACGATAAACAAATTCAAATAACCGTAAGTATATCCTCTATGTTTCTGATGATAATAGATTCAAGACAGATGTTAAATAATTATCTTTCTCTACTAGAGGTCTGTTGTAAAACCTTGCAAAGGTTTGAGAGTCCTGGCTCCAACCAGCTGATCTGCGTATTGCATCTATATGCACCCCTTGTCTTAGCGCACATGAAGTGGAAGCGTGCCTTGAGGAATGGGGTTTGAACATATTTGTGTCAATTCCTGCCTTTGCCATTGTATTTTTTACCCAGCGACTCAAGGTTTGCTTAGTAGCTGGGCCATGTGGTTTATTGAAGGTGAGAAATAGCTTATCACAATCGGCAGGGCGAAGTAGTTTAGTTAGTTCAAGGTACTGATGTAGGCAAGAAGCAACACACAAGTTAGGACATTCATGAAAATACGGCAATGACAACTTAGGTTGAAGTGTTTTAGGCCCTGAAGTTTTCACAAAATCGGGGATTTGGATGTCTGCCCCTGAGGTAGAAAATTTAATATTTGGACATCTAATAAGAGCAACAGCCTGGATTCTCTATCCGGTAGCTAACACTAAGAGAGTAACTAATTTACAGGATACGGATCTTAGATCTTTATCGGGCGGTTTATTTAAAAACTTAAGTACATATTGAGGATTCCACGTAAAATTATATCTAGGCCTAGGCGGTCTAGTTCGAAAAATTCCTTTCATAAATCGTTTTACCTCTGTATTTGTCCCTAAATCGCTAGAAGTGATAAGGGAAAGAGCCGCCCTATGGGAATTGAAGGAACTATAAGTATTATTTGATGTGTTCATAACCTGCTGTAGGAATGAAATGATATTGGGTACGTCGTATTTAAAAGGGGATATGTCCCTCAGTTGACAAAATTCCCACCAAAGTCTTAGGCTACAGTTGTATTGAGAAATCGTATTGTCACTCAAGGAGTTCATCATGGTGTCTACAGCTTCCGGAGGAATCCCTTTTCGTTGAAAAGCTTGCCTGACAATCTGGCCGCCACCAGGATAAGGTTTTCCGATAATGGATGTTTCTTTTGACTGAAAGGGCAAAGCAGGAGACTACTTGAGGGTCCAAAGTAGATTGGATTTCCTATAATTAATTGTATAAATAATGGGTACCATGGCTGGTTCTTCCAAAGAGGAACCACCAAGATACCTGATGCTTCGTCACTGATAATTTTCTGTAAGGTTCTCAGAACCATTGAAAAGGGTGGGAACGCGTAAAAGTTCAAGTGTTTCCAAGAGACAGTGAAAGCATCAATGTTTTCCGAGCTAGGATCTCTTAACCAAGACATGTATCTATCACATTTGTGATTAGCTATGGACGCGAACAAATCGATATCAGGGATACCAAAAGTTTGAGCTATTGCGTCAAAGGCATGTTGGTTAAGAGACCACTCTGTCTCGGTATGCAAAACGCGAGACGCACGGTCTGCTTGCCAGTTCTCTGATGAAGGGATGTAGGAAGCAAATATCCATAATTTTTTTGATTCGCACCACTTCCAGATGGTTCTCGTCAATTCATTTAATTGCGGGTGCTGCACGCTGCCCATTTTATTGACATAAGCTAGTGCCGTAGAATTGTCCGTTCGAATAAGAACGTTGCAATTTGATAAATCTCTGGCAAAACATTTTAGGCCAAAGTATATAGCTCTTAGTTCCAAAATGTTTATGTGAATATTTGATTCTTGTTCCGTCCATCGACCATAGCTACTTTCGCCTTGGCAAAAGGCGCCCCAACCTGACAAACTAGCATCCGTAAAGATCTCTCGGTGAAAATGATCTCGTTTAAGATCATTTTTAGCAGTATTGATATGGTGTTCCCACCAATTAAGTTCTTCAATTATCGTCTGGTTAATGTACATGGTTGCATTGTAATTTTGGGAGTGTTGGCACAAAGGAAGGAACTTTTCCTTTTCTAATATTTTGGTATACAACCATCCGTACTTCACTGCTGGGCAAGCGGACGTAAGCAACCCGAGAAACTGGGCTAACTTTAAAATTTTACAAGTAGAGTGCGTTTTAAAATACGTTATCCAATTTAAGATTTTTTGACGTTTTATTGGTGGTAATTCTATGGTCATTTTAATAGAATTAAAAACGAACCCTAAAAATTTAAATTCCGTAGAAGGTGAGAGGACACTCTTTTGCCAATTGATAACAAATCCCAGAGAAATTAGAAGAGAAGCAACCAAACGAATGTTTCTAGAACACTCGTCACGTGTTGGTCCCAAAACCAAAAAGTCATCCAGATAAATTACGCAGGGTACGCCCCTGGCTCTCACGTGGTTGACGATTGGTTTCATTAGTTTGGTAAATACGTATGGGGCTGAAGACAAACCAAACGGCAGGCAAGTAAACTCATATAAAACATCCTTGAAAGAAAATCGTAAATATTTTCTGTGATCACGATGAACTGCTAGCATATATAATAGCGTCCTTCAAGTCTAGCGTGGCTCCATAGTTGCCACGATGCACTAACTTACTTGCTGTTCGGGCGTCTTCCAGCTGAAAATGCGGGGCGTAGATAAATTCGTTTAATCGCTTTAAGTTTAAAATAAAGCGTTTTCCACCGTTAGGCTTATCGGTTAAAAAAATGGGAGAAACAAACTGCCCAGTTACACTACCGCTACACTTTTCTATAGCCCCAGAATTTAGTAACCTACTAATTTCGGAACCGATTATTTGGTTTTCATCATATGAATGATTAGCGTTATTTGGGATTTGTAGCTGAATAGGTGTTTTAACAAATGGTAATTTATATCCTGAGATCCAACCCAAAACAATAGGATTGTCAGTAAGGGTTAACCATTTCTGATAAAAAGAATTCAAGCGACCTGCATAGTTGCTTACCAATTCTAATGTCGTCTCCTCTTCTCTTGTGGTTTGTTCCAATAGGTGTTTTTGTGAAATCTGGATGAGGGGCCCCTCTCGTGACTCACTACCCCCAATAGGTGAGTCGGGGGGCGAGAGTTTAAAGGCCCTGATGATCTTGAGGTTTCTGTATAGACAGCTCGGGTTTGTCCCCCTCCTCCTTTTTGTGCCCTTCTGGGAGCGAGTGCTGGTTTAGAAGCGGCCACTTTATTCTGATAAGTCGGGAGTTTCAGATCCTTACTCACATTTAGAAGAGATTTTGCTGTGTCTAATTTCTGAGTTAAATTAGAACCAAAAAGAAATTCTCCGGGTAGGCAGTCATCTGCCAGTTCTTTAGATATTTTTAGACCAGGAACGAGAAGGTTCTTTCGTGTAACCGACATGCGATGGAAGAGATTCGTTAGAATTCGTCCGCTATCACATAGGCTAGTAAGGAAATCGCCCTTGAATTGATTTGGCATATGTTCTAAATCAAGGAGAATCGTGGAAATTGATCTACCTAGTGCAGCCAGGCCTTTTCCTAGTTGATTTTGCATCTCGACATAAGATGCGTCCACAGAGATGTTTTGTTTTGACGAGGCAGCCTTTACTTCCGGATTCAATTCGGGAGGTCTAAGGAATGATAGTTTTTCTGATGTTTGGTATGCATTAAAAAGCGTTTGAGCATCAGATTTTTTCAAGCCATTAGTCAAAATAGTTTGCCAGATCGTAGTAAGTTGATCGTGCAGGGAAAAAACAGCGCTTTGGTCCGTATTTACATCTTTTCCCATAAGCTTTAAGATGTCCTCAGGTAAGGTTACATCGTTGTGTAAGATCAAAGTGTCGTCTCCACAATCCATATTGTCGGTATTTGCTTCTGCACGTGGCAACGTTGTATTCATCAGCTGGAGAGACGGAGATAGCTGCTCCTCATGTTGAACCGGCAAGGCTCGAACATGGATCGGTGTCATCGGCGATCGAGATTCTCTCTCTCTCCGATTACGACGGGAAGAAGAGTGAGAAGAGCCAGAGCGGGAACGGCTTCTCGATTTCGAAATCGATCGACGCGGCATGCGGCGACGGTACGACACGCTTGGACTGCGTGTATGTTCTGAGCGACGCCTTTGTCGTGACAAACGACTATGGGTTGAATAAGAAGTGGACGGACATCTTGAATTGCGACGATTAATTAAGGTCTCTAGTTTCTCCATTCTTTCTAATAAGTAGGTATACGTGTCGCAATCATTATTACCCTTGGCGTTGCTCGGTGAGCGATTTTTCTTCTTATGACTTTTGGATTTACCCATAATAATCCCTGAAAAAACGGGCTGAAATAAAAGTAAATTGTATGATGCCCCTAAGGAGTCCCGTTAAATAGGCCCTGAATCTCCTATGTTAAAGGCAAAAATATTTGAGAATAATTCAAAAAGAATTACCTACCTAGGGTATCAAGTCAGGCGATATCACTTGGTTTTTCGTCTCTGTTTATTAGCTGAGGCAGCGAACGCAATGAACCTTGTCGCACAAGCACGAAAACCACAATGAAGCGAATAGGACGGTGCGCCACTAGATCATCAAGGTGAACGGCAGTCAGGACCGGACGGGCGCATTTTTCCTTTGCTTTGAACCTCGTGATAAAAAGTATAGAAAGCCACTACTACACAATTATGTAATATTGAGGACTGGATCCCGAAATATAATTAATAATTCTCTATTCACTATGGGATCCGCCTTCCTTACATTTGTGGCGGGTGATAACGTTGACACTATGCTCTTTACACACTAACTGGTGACAAATGCTGCATGTAATTGTGGTAACTCTATTTTTTTTTCGGGCGCAGATGGAGCATCTTCCTCTAATTTTTCTGGGTGGCTCCTCTTCTTCATCCATTTGAGTTTGTCTATATCTGGATAGGAAATGTCTGATATCTATAGGTAACGTAGGTATTGCAGCTCTTTCAGAAAGAAAAGGTTTCATCCATGACAGAGCAAGAGTTTTCAGGAAAATTCTTCTGGACTTGTGAGGAGATTCAGGGTGAGTGCCGTTATACAAAATTTAGCTATTGATGCCTGCTATATTTAGCAACTGAAAGAAGAAAGCCAATGGCCACCTTTTTGTTCTTCTTCCAACAGAATAGGTATTGCACATTTTGTCCACTGTGTCCACACCCCCTTTGGTCATATTATAATCTAGAATTATTTCAGGTTTGTTGGTATATGGATCAATAGTGGAGTCGTCGTGCATAGTTGAAATCAAAACCACGCATTTATTTTTTTTTGGACATGTGAAACTATCGTTACATCCTTTTGGAATCCAAAAAGTGATGACCCAACCAACCTATTTTTATTTGGCAAGAACTCTATCGGCAGCTCTCGCTTATTCTTCTTCAGGGTTCCGATGAAAGTTATTTTGTCTTGAAGAAGTTCCACTGCCAAAGGGTAACTTGAATACCAATTATCGGAGGTTAGATTTCTATTGCTTCCTTTTTGTTCTGCTAGCAAACGGTGAACGATGGCAGTTGGTGTATTAGATTGGCTATATTGGCCATCTGGTTGTTTTCCACAGTACAGCTCCAAATTACTCACATAAAATGTTCTAGCATCACAGAGCACAAATGCCTTCAAACCATATTTCGCAGGTTTGTTTGGTATGTACTGGACAAAGCTGCATCGTCCTCGGAACGCAATCAACATTTCGTCTATTGTCATAAATTCGCCCATAGAGTAGTTTTTTTTGCAATTACTTACAAATTTATCTAAAACGTACCGCACTGCGGCCAATTTATCTATTTTCTTGCGTTCATGCCTTGTTGTTTTGTCATCAAATCGAATATTTGCCAGCAGAAAAAGAAACCTTTGATAACTCATGCAAGCTCGAAATATTTCTGATCCGGTACCGTCTTTTGTCCATAATTCCAAAAAATGGGTGTGGTTTTGCTTTTTAGATCCAGATAAAAACCGTAAGCCTATAAAAGCCAGCATTTCCGTTTTTGTAACGTCCTTTGCGTCTCGTTCTCGATCATAGTTTTCCCTAACTCTTGAAATTTCTAAATTAGTACAGTGAATAATATGTTCAATCATTTCATCATCAAAAATTTTCGAAAACGCACTTGTCTCATCGGTTATGTCACGTGCGCATTGCTTTGGCCCTGGTAGTATTTTTATAATGTTTTTTTATTTTGGACTTGCTGGATTTACTCATGGGATAATTTTTATACCAAATAGTCTTTTTGTCTTTGCCAATATACTTATCTTGTTTATTGGCCGCTAACACCGAGAGCAGGATATCTTCAGAATCAGAACTACTTTGATCAACATCCACTTCATCCACTTCTTCTAGTTCGCTTATTTCTTGTTCTGAATCCGAATTGTGTGCTTCTTTCTCTACTTGTTCACTTCCATCAGAATCTCCTTCTCCTCCAACTTCTTCCTCGGTATCCGTATCACATATAACTTGGGCTATAGCCGCTAATTCATCTTGGGTCAATTTTTGAGGATTTTTCACCTTAACTCGATTCCTTGAATGAATAAATCAATTAATTCAAAACATATAATCGATGTTTAATTATATACAAATATACAGACTACATTACAAATAAGTTTTCATGGAAAACCTAAAAAAATACATTCCACTATCTACTTACATAACTGCTCGCCTTGGTGTATTTTGTACACCACCTCAAACTTCTTGAAATATCTAACCTTGTCTTCTAGCGATCCGAACCGTACTGGCGCTACATCTGGAAGATACATCGAGCGAGGCATACCTGGCTCGGCGCGGACGAACAGCTATTCGCATGGACTCGGCAGCCCTCGGCGCCATTTTGGTGTACTATATACACCAGCGCGAGTAGTTAAAGGTTAAAACTACGTATGTAACAATTTTCAGCAACTTTTTATGTCTGTGGGAAAAGAAGTATTCATACTAAAGTGACGACAGGTAACAAACAATCGCTATCGATCAACAACATCCATGGCAATGTGCGATATACAGCAACCGCACGAACTTATTTGGTTACCTGATACATATAATACAACCGAGGTCTTTACAGAAAAGAATTCACTGCCAGTTCTTCAAGTTATATGTGTGGTTTTCCGTGATGCAAAAATTTGTTTTTGGCTGTATATCCACTAACATCTAAGGTTGCTGCTTGGAGTCATAACTATCCAAACACATCTAGTTTCAACCAATTGCGATGGAACTGTCTCAAGTTTTCGCATGTCCACACGGAGGGTTGGAAAAGGAGTTCTTAACACAGCCCTAGATCGCACTGAGTTTTGCTGGGATGGCGAATTTTGAAGCCTATCACTTATAAAGGTGCAAAGTGATCCAGTTGATGACCTGTTTACCAGAATCTATTGGTTACTGGTATGCATCTATTTTCTGTATAACTATTTCATGCCATGTCTACCGTTATCGCCATTCTATTTCTTTGAACGCCCGCTCGGTGTCCGTGTCAGTTGAGCGCTGTCAGTCCTTCCGATACAGCCATTCTAGCACCAGCTTTATTGTCCATTTAAGCGATCTAGTTGGCAGGGGATCGTAAATCTGTGGAGGTGAAGGCAAATTGCTATCATTTGCATTAACCGTTCAGATTCTTCTTGTTCGGAAAACACGTACGGCGGCAGCCGATGGAAGGAAGTGGAAGAAATGCTTGGCGAAGGCATCTTGTACTGTCGCCGGGACGTTTTCCTGTTTGCTGTGCACCGCCAGTAGCGGCGATCACTTTTTTCAAGGAATAAATAAGTAGCTTGTAACTATAAAAGTTTATTGGAATTAGAAGTGCAATTTCTTCTTTATCTTCCATGGTCATCTTATAATCAAATAATGGCGACAACCATAGCGAATATTTTCGGCTACCCTTATTAGTGTTTCTAAGTTCATGTTGGTCGCGTTCTCCATCCAAGGAATTTGCCTCCTTCCAGAACTTGAACAAAGTTTAAAAACAGATTTGAAATGATCTATTTGCTCTGCGTTCCTGTGACCATAACTAACCGTAAACAACGTTTCGTGCTTTTTGGTATGATAGCAGCATCACCTCTTCGCGTAAGGTTTAGAAATCCATATTCTGCAACAAGGAAGTCACAGTTTATTTCTTCGCACCCAGACAGCCCAGATTGCTGAGCTGAGATACTACGGTACTACCGCTGCAAAGAGATCCAAGTTCTAAATTCTTGTGATTTGGTCCACTTAAAACATTTATTATCGGCGTTGGCGATTTTAATTGTCATCTTCAGGTACATGTGATTTTCTAGAATTAAGCAAAAGCGTCGAAAGTTACAGCACAAGACACGTTAAAAATTTTAAAAAAAGGTAATATTGATATACAAAACGAGTTGGAAAAAATTATTATGTTTCTGCCAGATAAAATTTGGCAGCTTGAGTGTACGTCAAGGACTGGCG